GAGGGGCATGGGCATGTGGGCATCCCTGGCGGGCAGCTTGGGGTGTCGAGGCAACCCTGGGGACAGCTTGGGGTTCCCATGGTGGGATGGGTTTTTTGGGGTCACCCACTATCCCTCCAGCACCAGGATGCCAAGAGGAGAGACGGGGAGGGGACAGGGTGTCCCCAGACTCCTGGGTCCTTTCCCCAGCCCTGGGTGGGGGTCCCAGCTGTCCTGAAGTCTTCTCTCCCCACCCCCAGGACGAGCACTGCTCCTCCTTGTGCCCCCCTGACACCTTTGGGATGAACTGCTCGGGGCGCTGCACCTGCCAGCATGCCCTCGCCTGCTCCCCCCTCGATGGCTCCTGCCTCTGCAAGGAAGGTGGGTGCACACCAGGGTGGGGGTGTCCCCCTATCCCCATCCCCATGCCCACCCTGCTGTCCCCTCATTCCGCAGGCTGGCACGGACCTGACTGCTCGATGCCATGTCCCGCCGGCACTTGGGGTCCCAGCTGCAACCGGAGCTGTGAGTGTGCCCACGGGGCTGCCTGTGACCCCCAAAGCGGGACCTGCAGCTGCCCCCCAGGCTGGCAGGGCCCCCACTGCCTGCAGCCCTGCCCGGTGAGTCCTGCCAGCTGTGCCGGTGCTGCCTGCGCTGGGGTTTGGTGCCACCATCCCCAGCACTGACCCCCTGACCTGGACTGGTACCCCAGAATGGGACGTTCGGGGCGAGCTGCGGGCAACGGTGTGATTGCGCCCATGCCGACGGCTGCGATCCAGTGACCGGAGAGTGCCGCTGCCTGCCCGGCTGGACAGGTAAGGGACAGGGACCAGGGAGGCAGGGGACCCCTCCGTGCCTTCAGCCCTTGACCTTCATCCCTCATCCTCCTCGCAGGGCCGCAGTGCAAGCAGGGTTGTCTGCATGGCTTCTGGGGCCGAGGCTGTCTCATGCCCTGCTCCTGCCACAACGGGGCTGCCTGCTCACCCCAGGATGGATCCTGCACCTGCACCCCAGGTTACCGTGGCCCAACCTGCCAGCGCCGTGAGTGCCCTCCTCCCTCCAAAAAACTGTGGGTTGCTCCCAACCCACCCCCTCCCCACCGCCCCTCGACCCCTGGGGCTGAGACCGGGTGCACTCATCTCACCCCAGCTTGCCCGCCCGGCCGCTACGGCAAGCGCTGCTCCCTGAGCTGCTCCTGCGCCAATGGTTCCTCCTGCCACCCCACCAATGGCTCCTGCCTCTGCGCCCCGGGCTGGCATGGCCCCCGCTGCTCCCAACGTGAGTGGGGGTCTGGGAGGGCTCTGGGGGGGGGGAAGTGGGGTGCAGGGCTGACCCCATCCCTTGCTTCCCCCCGCACCCCCAGCCTGCGCCCCCAGCTCCTGGGGGGATGCTTGTGCCCAGCCCTGCCTGTGCCACCATGGGGGGACATGCCACCCCACTGAGGGGACATGCCACTGCCCGGCCGGCTGGACAGCGACACTCTGCGGCGAAGGTAGAATACATCACAGACACCCCCCGCCGTGGGTCTGCACCCCCTGGATCCAGCCTGGGGGTCCAGGGGGGGAAAGAGCGAGAACTGCCCAGGGCCATATGGGTTACCCCTACCCAGCTCTGTCCTGGGCAGTATGGAGATATATGGGCCCACTATGGAGCTATATGGTACCAGTATGGAGCTATATGGTCCTGGGGACTATGGGTCTGTATGGTCCCAGTATGGAGCTATAGGGTCCCAGCGTGGAGGCATGTGGTCCCGGGCAGTATGGAGCTCTGTGGTCCCCGTACAGAGCCATACAGTGCTGGGCAGTATGGCTCTGAATCCCCCACTCCCTGTGCCCCCAGCCTGCCCCCTCGGGACCTTCGGGCTCCAGTGCAACCAGCTCTGCCACTGCCCCCCCAACGTTACCTGCCACCCCGCCAGCGGGATGTGCTCCTGCGCCCCGGGCAGGATCGGGCCCCACTGCGAGGCTGGTGAGTGGGCACAGAATGGGGGGTCCCTGCCGGGGTCCCTGCCTCACCCTAAGGACTGTTTCCCCCACCCCCACCCCACAGGGACCCCTGAGCAGCCCTACACCATCGTGCCAGCCCCCCCGACAGGCTACAGCTCCCTGGGGGTGGTGCTCAGCCTGGTGGCCCTGGTGGCATTGCTGGTGGCTGTGGTAGCTGTGGCCCTCTGTTACCGTCACCGGCAGAAGGGGAAAGAGAGCCGGCACCTGGCCGTGGCCTACACGGCAGGACAGACGGACACCTCTGACTACGTGGTGCCAGGTGAGCCCAGTGGCGGTGGGGATGCGGCCCCAGCCCCGGTGACCCCGCTGCACCAAGCTGACGCCTGTCCCCCCAGATGTTCCAGCGAGCCACCATGCGCACTACTACTCCAACCCCAGCTACCACACACTGTCCCAGTGCACGCTGCCAGCACCCGGCCCCGGCGTCCAGGACAGGGCCAGCTCCTTCAAGGTACGGCACAGCATGGCATGGCACAGCGCGGCACCCAGCAGCGTGGCATGGTGCCGCATGGTGCAGCATGGCACTGCACAGTGCACCATGGTGCCAGCACGGTCTTGCACACCACTGTGTTCCATGGTGCACCATGGTTTTGCACAGTACACTATGATGTTTCATGGTGTGGCACGGTGTTGCACAGTGCATCATGATGGTGCAGCACGGTGTTGCACGGTGCACTGTGGTGTTGTGTGGTCTACCGTGGTGCAGCATGATGTTGCACGGTGCACCACAGCATGGCACAGCACTGCTGCCAGGAGCCTTGTGGCCAACCCATCCCCTGTTTGGGCTCCAGGTGCCCAGCACCCAGCTCTTCCCCAGCGTGGAGAGACCCTATGGCCCCGAAGGCAACGCCACACTGCCCCCAGACTGGAAGCACCTCGGGGCACCGGCCCTGGGCCCCAGGGGTAAGGGTGGTTGGGGGGGCGGCAGCTCCTAGGGAGCTGGTGGGGATCTTGGCTGGAGCAGGGTCCCCTCCCTGCTCAAGATCCACCAGGAAGGTGCTGGTGTGGGTTGGGTGGTGACCCCAAACTTGTCCCCTTACAGGGGGGCAGCTGGACCGGAGCTATAGCTACAGCTGCAGCCTGGGGAAGTACAATAGCAAAGGTACAGGGTGGGATGGGGAGGGATGGGGAAGGGACCAGGATGGGGAAGGGAAGGGATGGAGATGGGGATGGGGTCAGGAAAGGACAGGAGTGGGATGGGGAAGGGCTGGGGAAAGGACAGGGATGGGATGGGGAAAGGATGAGGATGAGATGGGGATGAGGATAGGGATGGGGAAGAGACAGGGATGGGATGGGACAGGGCTGGAATGGGGTGGGGATGGGTATGAGAGAGCAATGAGATGGGGATGGGATGGGGTGGGGTGGGGAACAGATGGGGCTGGGACTTGCCTGGGACACAGCCAGACACAGCTGCTCCCTCTCCCCTGTGCTCCCTGCCATGGGGAGCTCCCCCCCAACCCTTTCTCCCCCAGACCACTCCCCGGACGGCCTGGGGGCCAGCACCAGCTCCCTGGCCAGCGAGAACCCCTACGCCACCATCAAGGAGCTGCCCCCTGCCACCGCCAAGGCCCCTGAGGGCAGCTACATGGAGATGAAATCCCCTGTCCGACGGGAGATGTCCTACGCCGAGATCGGGCTCCTCGAGGAGCCGTCCCAGGAGGGTACGGCTGGGGGCGTCCCCTGGGCCTGGTGAGCCCAGCCGGGGGGGACACGGCCCCGGTGACAGGGGCTGCATGGCCTGGGGGGGACACAGTGCTGGTGACGAGGGCTGCATGGCTCAGGGGAGGTCATGGCTGCAGTGATGGGGGGCTGCATGGCTCGG